ACTATACGTTAACTAACTTGAATTTAAATAAAATCTAAAAAAAACCCCAAACCAAAACCCAAACCAAAAAACTTCCAAAGATGCATTATCAATTTTAAAATATAAAAAATATAATTCAATATACATGTAATTTTACATCATACTAGATGCTTTAATCTCTCTTCAATGAATCAAAAGTGTCCTGGATCTTACAGAACTCCAATGAGATATGAGTTATTCAGTAATAAATTCTTTTTAATGTGGAATATGGAGTTTGTTACACTTTAAAAAATTAAAAGACACTATAATCATTTAATATGCAACCAATATTACTCATACAAAACAAAATAATCAAACAATAATGCTACATGACATTAATGTATATATATCAAATCTTTCTCCTAAGTGAAAATATTTTTACATAGCCAAAAATAGCGTTCTAGAGTTAGCTGGGATGTTCTACAGACAAGGAAAAGAAAAACTCTTAGGGCCCTATCCCAAGAACTAAAAGAAAACAAAACACATAGGGTCTCTCAAAAGTCCAATGTTTTGGATACTGCTCTAAGAAATTTGATTATAATGCTCAGTTTGTGGCTAAAACAGGTATCCTTTTATAAGGTAATGAACAGCAAAATATAGATCTGCTTCTCAAAACATTGTAACATCCAAAACTGTTCAAGTTTAATCAAACTTCTTTCCAAAAATGGAGAATTTTAATGGGAGGCAGGTATGAAAACCAAATAATTTTGGAACATAACGCATTCCTGAGGTAAGCTAGGGAGCCACAGGCGATATGCCACATTATGTGGCACAAAAAGACTGAGACCTGTAGGGTCCCAGAGTCTGAGGAAAGAAAAAGAAAGTGGGGGGGAGAGATAGAGGTGGACAGTCAAAAAATGACAAAAATATTTTGGCTATCCTCTCCCTTCCTCTGAACTCAAATATTAGAAAAGTAAGCACAAACAGGGTTCCCTCTACTCCTCCCATTTGCTCATAGAGCAAGTGGGCATTATGATATTAATAACAAGCAAGCATGAGCCACATACTATTAAGTCTGGAAGTGTTTTATGGCCTGCCTACATTTATCTTAGTTAGCAAGAACAGACAATAAGAATAGAGTAAATGTGTCTCAACCTTAAAGAAATTGTAGGCTATTTCTTAAAATCTGAGACAAAGCTAAAATTAAACTTAATATGCATTAACTAAAAAAATATCAATGTTACCTGTGTAAGGCAAAAAACTTACGTACCTAACTCTGTCTAGCCAGCTCTCTGAAGCAAAAGTAAATGTGAGGCTTTCAAAGATAATTGCTATAAAATCTCAAAATCCTAAGGCAGCAATGACCCTGTCTTCCTACATAAAAGAGGACATACTATGTACCCCTGATGAATCATTATCAAAATCAATTTTGATGATACAATGATCTTTTACTAAATATTGTTTCCATAATCTTTGAGAAATTCTTGGTTTTCATGATGAATCTTATCACAATTGAGTAAGAATGTAACTATCTATATTGTCCTTTTAACAACAGGACTGATAGACTTCTACAATAAAAAGCTACAACTCTCCCAAGACCGAATATAAAACCTGGGAAATAAGCATTTGCTACTAGAAATAAGACAGCAGCATGCTACAGGTCATATATAATCACTACTAGTATGAAGAGGAAAAGTCTACAAGAAAAATTTTAGTCAAGAAGTACAAATGCTAGAGTGTACCAAATAGCCTCAGTGGCACTGAATTAAACATTCATAAAAAAAATTTTAGTGAAAAAATTCTAGCTAATGATATAGAGCAGAATAGACTTCTTTCCACTTACCTAAATTTGAGCTGCATAAAGGTAATTTTCCTCCATATAACTACTTATGTACAGCTGGATGTAATATTTAAGATTTGGTCCCATATTTGCAAAATCATACTGCTTTATGTAATACAAAAAAGGCACAGCTGTGGATTGTTCCTGTACATTTATTCTGGTACATCTCAGTAGTAATATTAATGAAGTTGATCCCTTCCTCAACACGAAAAGAGCTATTTGTCTGATTCTCCTACAGCATGTTGAAGGATGAGTTCTATCAGTAGAAATAAAAAGTGTAACTAAAGTTATGTAATAGATAATTTTAAAACTTTACCATCTTGCTAGCAGTAAAGACATCTCACTATATTTTAAAATATACTTTAGAGTTTCAATGAATATGTTGTGATAAAATTGATGACCTTCATTTTAATTTAGTATCTCACAAGAAATAGAGAAACATATTATCGTTGTAATAACAGATGGTTTATTACTACTCATTTTTTTATTAAGGGACTGGATCCAACTAAACATATCTGATAGAGATATAAAATACATCTGAATATATAATAAAAATTATAGTTCCCCAAGGCTTTCATTATAGATACATGATTTAGTAACAATGTCAGAAGAAAACATGATTATGCTAAGACAACTTAAAATTAAAATTGAGTCATCAATGTTTTAAAAACAGCTATCATTTTATTCTATACTACTATCATTTGTTATTTTTTTAATACACTTGCTGATGAGTAAAAACTTTCGGTGACAAGAATTAGTGACATATCAAGTGCAGAAAGTTTTTAAATTCTATCTTCTACCAAGTCAGATAGACATAATTGGCAGTAATGTAGCTTATTCCTAAATTCAGCAGGCCAATTAGAGCCACCAGATAACACTCACAACTGGAAGAGGATCATAGTGATCACACCTTTATAGCAAATTCACAGAATATTAAGATTCAGGGGATGATAAACTTGATGATGCAAACAAACCACCAAGATGAAAGTATGCAAATGTATGTTGAAAAGTATGATAGCGTGGAGAATGTAGACTGTAAGAAAAAGTAAAGTCAAATGAAAATATTTGAGAAATAAACAATAACTTCTCTGCTTCAACCTTACTGTTTAACATTCCCTTTCTGCTAAAACAGGAATCACCAGAGTTTTCAATAAAACATCCCTCTGCAGCCTTCAGACTTAGTTACCACCTATTTCAAATTTCTCTGGATTTCAGTCTTCACACAGTTACTTTCATAGAGTAAGTCTTCACATTCTGCATTAACAAAATCCTCTGACTACATGAAAATAAGATGTTCCCCTCACCTCCCACTAAAGAGTACACTTTGAGTTCACTCCACAATAATAAAATTTACATATCTATAACTTAATAAAAGTATTTTTTAAAATATAAACTCAATGAGAACACCTTTGTTGTAGTAGGTAAACTACATGCAGTAGGCATGCAGTAGATAAAGACAGAATTTCATCAACAACACTGTTTTGCATTTTTAACATCTCTAAAATATGGTTACATCTAGAGTGCCTGGGTGGCTCAGTCGTTAAGTGTCTTGCCTTCGGCTCAGGTCATGATCCCAGAGTCCTGGGATCGGGCCCTACATCGGGCTCCCTGCTCGGCGGAAAACCTGCTTCTCCCTCTCCCACTCCCCCTGCTTGTGTTTCCTCTCTCGCTGTCTCTGTCAAATAAATAAACTCTTTAAAAAAAAAAAATGGCTACATCTTAAAATTGACAGTGAATCATAACTTAATTGGCAGAGCTTTTCTTGATGATACATACATAATGGTGCTTTTACAAATGCTGTTTCAGGTTAGATTAAATAGGTTAATAACTGCTAAATTTAGTTGAACTGAATTAAACCAAGGTAAAGGTGTATGGTCTGATTACTATATTAACTCTCAGGAAACTGAAATCATTTTTTTGATTCTTTTCTATGTCAGTATCTAAAAGCTTATATTATTATACAGAATTTGTAGGTTATATCTTAATTTATCTTTAAAAACAACCAAAGTACTATGCCTTTTGACTGAGGTGCTTAATTTTTTTCATTTGAAGTAATTATTGATAGGAAAGGACTTACTACTGCCATTGTGCTGTTTTGTCTTTTAGCACTTTTGTCCTCCTTCTTCTTTCCCTGATTTTTTTTTTAAGTAGTGACATACTCTGATTCCTTTCTCATTTCCTTTTGTGAATCTTCTGTAGGTATTTTCTTTGTGGTTACCATGGAGTTTATATAAAACATCTTAAAGTTATAACAACCTATTTTAAGCTGATAAATACTATATATAAAAACTATACTTCTACTCCTCCTCACATACACTTTGCTATTAATGTTATAATTTGTATCTTTTTATCCTGTGTATTCATTAACATGTTTACTGGTAGTTATTTATTTTTTTTTTAAAGATTTTATTTATTTATTTGAGAGAGAGAGAGAATGAGAGATAGAAAGCACGAGAGGGAAGAGGGTCAGAGGGAGAAGCAGACTCCCTGCTGAGCAGGAAGCCCGATGTGGGACTCGATCCCGGGACTCCACGATCATGACCTGAGCCGAAGGCAGTCGCTTAACCAACTGAGCCACCCAGGCGCCCCTGGTAGTTATTTTTTATACTTCCATCTTTTTAAAGTTCAATACCAGAATTAAAAGTGATTTATACACCACCATTATAGTATTAAAATATTCTATATTTGTCTATATATTTACCTTTTCTAGCCTATTTCATATTTTCATATGCTGTCATGTTACAGTTTAGCATCCTTTTCTTAATTTAGGCTTTGGAATCTAAAGACCACACTTATTTTATAGATGAAAATGGCCAAAAAAAATGCATCCATGTTGTTTGGCAATTATAAATCAGAACTGAGGGGCACCTGGGTGGCTCAGTCACTTACACAGCTAACTCCGAATTTCAGCTCAGATCATGATCCCAGAGTCCTGGGAAAGAGCCTTGCATTGGGCTCTGTGCTCAGCAGGGAATGTGCTTAAGGATTTTCTCTCTCTCCCTTTCTCTCTACAATCCCTCCCCCAACTCACATGCAACCATGCGCATGCATGTGCTCTCTCTTTCTCAAATAAATAAATCTTTTTAAAAATAAATAAATCAGAACTGAGCTTCTAAGACTTAATGGTATTGAAGGAGCTATGTTTCTGAAACCAATAGAGCAGTTTCAGCCCATTAAAATCTTCACCAATTTTAATACCTACCGGTTCCTTTGCTTAGATATGGAGGTTTAAAGAACTTCACAACACCATAGACATTGACAATTGTACCACCCTTAAGTTGATTCAGGGGTGTATATATATAATGTGTTGCTGGAACCTAAGAAAGAGAAGACAGTGAATACATCAATACTAAGTATTTAATTTTAGGATAATTTTTGATTAAAGTTTTAAATTAAGAACCAATCTAATTGCATTTTTTTCCTTTTAAGTTTCTAAAAAGAGGATATAGCCTAAGAAAAAAGGAAATGCGGAGCTTATAAAGAATACTATACAAACCAGTTTTTCTTATAATTTTGATGATAAATTATGTAATTTGTACACAATTCTAAGAAATGCAATTTAAGAGATTTTGGTTCTGGATTTTAAGTAATATCCCTTCAAAATTTGTGGTATATATTTCTTTTTTTTTCTCCCTATATTACTATAAAGATTTCACTTAGGCCTAAAAAGCCAGGTTTTGATTGTAAATGGTATATACATTAAAAATGGTAAAAATAGAAGAGAAAAATTATGAGAAATTATGAGAAAAATATTATGAGAAAAAAATTATGAGAAAAATAGAAGAGAAAAATTATTTGTACATTTATATTTATAAATTATTTAATTTATATTAAAAATTATAATTGTACATAAGTTTGGAAAGAAAGGGGAAAGTGATTTACAAGGACATGTCTGCATATTAGTCTAACAATCCTTAAAAGGGTTCACACATCTGGCCCCATCACCCATCCATCCCACCCACAACTGGAAATAAGGTTACTACCTACCACACGAGTTAAAACTTTAAAAATCAAATCAAAATGAGTTAATTGGCTTTTTCAAGGAAGCTGATACTTTAGTTCAAATATAAGAAAGGCAGTGCTTAGAAATCTTATCAAGCCTCGATATAAAAAAAGTTGTAGCTCATAAATGATGGAAGAAAAATAATGGTCAGCATATGGGACAAAAAAGAAAGATATATGCTCAGCTGACAAATAACTAGATCCAAGACATTAAAGTTATCTCCCTAATGTATAGATGAATGCAGCAGGCCAGCACAGCTCAATGACACTAACCATTATGGTCATCCATGTAATGTACTTGTTAATTCATGAACAAACAACTTACTGATTATAATTTGACCTTCCATGTAAATAGGCCAGTATATATGTGCACAGCATCTAAGCTATAGTCTAATAGATCAGAATACCTGGGCTCTCTGAAAAGACATTTTTTGCCAATTTCATAGGCTCTTTCCTTCACTTGTTCCTTACATACAGGTTTATAGATGTATCAAGTATTTGAAGCTGAGCAATCTAAAACAATTTTGAGAAAAACTAATACCTGGGGCTAATTCATGCTTTTAAAAAAGCATATCAACCCTTTTATTGGTTACAGTTTCTTTAAATAACAAATTTGAATTATATTTCCATATAGCATTATTCAGAATTCAAAATCTATATCCCATAGTCACTGTTAATTAATACAAAGTCCCTGGACTCTGTCCATTACAAACAAATGGTTTAAGAATATAGGCAGAAGGTAAACTTTATATTAAACTTCCTCATATATTACCTTTTTTCCAGTTTCACTCAGCTACATGTAGCTCAACTATAAAAATGGGAACCTTCCTATTGCTAGAACAAAATTTTATAAAATATTGAAAAAAAGATAAAAAAGATATGAAAAATGTATCACAAGTATAATAAACTTCTTAAAATTAGTTTTTCAAATCACAATTCGGCACATGATAATGTTTATAAATATAACTGATGAAGAAACAAAAGTATTTGCCTGAGGTTAAAAGTAGTACTAATCCCAGTATCTTCACACAATAAAACTTTTTTTCCCTTTTAATTTTTTTGTGTATGTAGCTTATACAAAGTATCAGCAGATATTCCAAATAAAAGAACAACCAGGTATTAATTACTTGGTAAATATATAACTCAAATTTAACATTATTAAAGGTAAAGATTTTGTTTTCCCATTGTATTACTATTTTAAAATTAGACTATAAGTGGATCTCATATATATATATATGGGATGCATACATATATATGTATGTACATATACGTGTGTATCTTTATGTGTGTGGGGGGGGTATTTTAATTTAAATTGAATAGCATCTTACCAAAGACATGGATTCTGCAGAAAAATCCCTTACAGATTTAACATAAACCTGAAAACAAAAAGAGGATTTACTTGTATACAAACAACCTCCAATGTGATTACAGACCTTTAACTGCACCAAAGCTACACACTTAACTGTGTAATATTCAAATTCACTAGAATGGCACAAAATTATGGCTTATAAATTAAGACTAACATGTGCAAAACTAAGTTTCAGTCTAATCTATTAATTTCACGATGTCACAGGACCACCCCTAGCCCATATAATGCCCTTGTGGATACTACAGAAAAACAGGCAGACAGTGGCCTGCAACCACAGGACTTGGCCCAACTCCACTTCTCTTGACAGCCTTGACCAAACTGGTGGTCTCCGTGTGTGCACACGCACGCACACACACACAGGGCTGTGGGAGGAGGGGTAAAGTGGGAGGCAGAGAATGATCATCTCTGTAAAAAAATAAAATAGAATGAAATCAGTTTTACCTAAAAAAGGGCACTTGATTAATTTAAAGTGAAATCAAGTAGACCATCAAAAGGGGCTGATGGTGTAAGAGCAAAGAATGACATCAGGTCTAGAGTACCTATAAAGTTTAAAAATTCTATTAATAAGTTTCTTTTCTACCTGGAGTCATTCTAAACATAAAGCCAAGAAAAGAATTTTTGCTTTAAACTTAAAATATTTAATTAAAATAACCCAGTCAGACTAAATAGTTTATCTGCAGATTTACATATATAATGCTCCTATTCCATCCCCTTAGCTCATTAAAACCACAAATGATTGGACTAGAAGTTACACACTTACATAAACAGTTGATCTGAAGTCCTCAAATGCTTTCAAAAATAAGCAATGTTTACCATCTCTGCTTGTAGATGAAGATGCTGACAAGACAGTAAATCCAGCTACTGCAATGGTATCCTACATAAGGAAAAAATGGTTTTAATCATCAAAATATCTGTAATTGTGAATGTCATATAAATTCTTATATTATTATTTAAAAACAGGAGTAATTTCCATAAAATGGAAAACTGGTTAGCCTAAATTTAATGCTTCCTGAATATAAGATTGAGACTACTACTTCCTCAAAAAGGACATCAACAATGTAGCCCTAGACAAGTATAATGTCTCACTTCATTGACCAGGAAATCATTAACTAAATCACTCAAAAATTTTTATTTATTTAGTGGGAGTTCAAAAATCAATGTTTATCTCAATTTATATAAGTTTGCAGAAATAAACAATGAGATAACAGATGATCCAACAGTATTAAGAATGAAATTTAAACAAAACTAAATGTCAGAGTTGAGAAACTACATTGAGAAAGACATGCCATTAGTATAAAAACTCCATATTGTCACAAAGCTAATACTTGTGCATATAAATCCAGGGTATGAGACATAAATAAGAAATTTCCATTGACATACTAATAAGAAAAAAATATTTTCTATCTACTTATGTTTATAATAGTAATAAGAAGCCAGTCCCCATTTATTCTTGCTTCTCTCATTCTTTAGTTAAATCTCCTTTTCTTAATTTCCAAGTACTGGAACATACACATTCAGCAAATTTTGTCTTGCTGCACTATACATATATAATATGTAATAATATATATTATATATATGAAATTATCCTACTCTTCTAATTTTTTTTATTTTTTTTTAAGATTTTATTTATCAGAGAAAGAGAGACAGAGGCAGGCAGAGGGAGAAGCAGGCTCCTTGCTGAGCAAGGAGCCCGATGTGGGACTCGATCCCAGGACCCTGGGATCATGACCTGAGCCAAAGGCAGACGCTTAACCGACTGAGCCACCCAGGCGTCCCCCTACTCTTCTAATTTTAATACCAAAATCTTAAGATACATAAAAATTCCTGGGCTTTAGGCAGCTTCCTTCAATAATCTTAATTTCTACCAAAAAGAAGTCTCCCACATTACTGACTTTTGCTTTGCACATGCAAGAAAGGGTCTGGTGTCAATCTGCATTTAGATCCATTAAACGAGGCTGTGAACACCTTGTAGGCAGGGGTCACGTCTCACGTCTTTTTTTTTTTTTTTTAAGATTTTATTTATTTATTTGACAGAGAAAGAGTGTGTGTGCGCGCACAAGCTGGGGACTGGCAGGCAGAGGAAGAAGCAGACTCCCCGCTGAGCAAGGAGCCCGACGCGGGACTCAACCCCAGGACCTTGGAATCATGACCTGAGCTGAAGGCAGACACTTAACCAACTGAGCCACCCAGGCATCCCTAGGCAGTTTTAAAGGGGAATAAAATAAAGAGTAAGACTGCTTCTGGAATAAATTACTCTTAAAACTGAAAAATAAACAATGCTTTCAACTAACTAAAAATTCTGATTTAAACGAAAACTTGAGATTTTAGTCAAAGATTTAAAGTTGTTTAATCAAACTAACAAGGGAAGATAAACAGAAGTAGGGAAGTTTATCAGTTCTAAATTCTCTTAAAAGCACAAAAAAATAACCTATGTCATCTTATTTTCTATTTTACTTAAAAATGTCTTAAATATTATATGGAAAGAATACACAAAATGCCAAGTGTGCAGATGAACATTTTTCTATTTTTTTGTATAATCTAAACTTAAGTATTTATTTTATGATGGAGAAAACATTTTAAATAGAAAAAAATCACTAAAAGAAGGACATCAGCATTCATAAGAAAAAATTTTTCACAATTCTATTTTAACATTAGCAATACAATTCAGTAAAACGTTATAATAAAACTTTTCCTCTAGCACAAATTTGACAACGTAGAAATAACAACCAAAAATATTTATAAAAACTAATGTTTATTATATTTCTAAACATGAACTTACATTTGAATATACCTATATAAATTGCATGAAAGGCCCTCAGTGATCCCATCCCAACAACCTGGCCTGTTTTATTTCCATATATGTCTATTCAATACTATAAAAATCAGATTCTCTCATATTCGTAGTGCTTTTCCACATATGTTCTTTGCATATTCTGAGCCCCCACTAGTTAAGAGCATTTTTCTCTTTTGCATATATCTGATCCTATCTATCCTTTAAAACCTGGACTGTAAATGCTTTTCTTATGAGGTCTATCTTAGATTGCCTCTGAGAAAAATATTTCTTTCTTCCTCTGAACTCTCCTATGCAGTATTTTAATATTTTTCACTTGTGTGTTATTTACAAGTGCTTCTTAATGTTTTTAATGCTCTTAGAAGTCTATAAGATCCCTAGGACTAAGAAGGTCTTATCTACCTTTATATCCCATAAAAGAGACAGGAAGGGGCTTCTGTTCATAGTTACAAAGTATATGTTGAATAAATTAATACTGGTAAAATTAAAGTACAAACCTAAACAGAAGAGAGAAAAAAATGGCTCTTAGAATCCAGTTCCCATGAATTTACAAATTGTAATAGCTTTTAAATTAATTCAAATGCACAGAGGATAAGAAAGATAAACATATAATAGTAACTATTAGTTTATATAAACACTCATCAGACTGAGTTGAAAATGAGATTTAATACGCATTGTTCTAAGTTCTAAGCTTCTGAAAAGAGCATACTGAAGCCATTCAAACAAGAATAGGAATTACACAGTTGAGTGCTAAGAATGCATTTGATATACAGAGTAGGCATTTATCTCAATCTGCTGAAAAGAATTAGGAAACCAGCCTGAGAGAATACCATATTACTAAAAGTGATAAGGATTTATCAATATCTGTGCATGAATGTTCTAAAAATAAAAACACATTTGGTATACCTGAAATCTTTGAACTAACTCAGGATAGCAGATATCAGCAAGTGGGTCATTTTCCTTTTGTGTCATTTTTTGTCACAGAGTCTTAAAAGGAGTGAAACGTTGTCATTAAACAATTTCCTTTTTGGTTTAGCCAATAGGAATATTTCTACCGCAAACCAATTTCAGAGAAAAATCAACGAAAACAGCACAGGTCTTTTTAACATAAATAAGTGTTCTTAAAAATCAATAATAAAAAGGAAAAAAAAAAGCAGACAACTTATTTACATATTAATGTAAATTTTTTTTTTTAAATTTAAATTTTTTTTTTTACATACTAATATCTTATAATGTAGAACATAATCAGTGGTGGAACAAGAAACAAATCAATATGTGACTAAAAAATGTAAACTATAAGACTAGCATATTAACCTGCTAATTTTTAATTGATATTGTATCCAAAATTCTCAAGTTGTTGCACTTTTAGTAAGCAGGAAAAGGACACAGAAAATATGAAAAAACTGATAATCCAGAAAGAAAAACACTTATCTGACTTTAACAGGCATTAAGTAATTTTTACTATACTGACCTTGCAAATCCTGTTATCATATTTTAAAACACCAATTAAGAGTGAAAGAGTGCAGGGAGAAGCCAGGAATCTGATAACACTGGTAACATAGTGACTGACAGAAAATGTTTCTCTAATATAAAAAATGTATTTTATGAGTATTAACATCAATTTGGTCATGGAATTTAATTGGAAGTAATACAGATAATATTAGCATAAAATCCAAAATCTTTAAATGGCTTACAAGTCACTGTATGATCTGATGCCCACCACCTCACCAGCTACCTACTACGTGACACACCCTGGAATAGTGCCTTTTGTAATTTTTAGCATTCCAGGCTCCTCAATCAGGGCCTTTGTATACGTTGTTCTCTTTTACTAATCAATCCACTCTCCCAGTACTCATCTTCATTCTTTCTGCTACTTTTCTGATTCTACTACTCAATCTCAGTCATATCACATCTGGCTAAAGTAATCAATTATGTAATAGTTGTTTAATTCCCTCTGCTCCACTGAGCACTGTCTCATGATGGCAAGGTCCATTACCCTCTTATTCAGGACATCCAGCATAGAAGACCAAAAACATTCAACAAGTATCTGGACAATTAAATGAATAACTATGTCAATATTATATATACATTTATATATAGATATATACACACACACATATATATATAAAATACCTTCATTAAATCTTAACTATACAAGTACTACAAAACTTATTTCAAAGAATCTTAGCATTTCAGAACTGAAAACAGGACTTTAGAGATCACATAATCAAACACCTTCATTTTTCAGATAAAATAAGGGCGAGAGAGGGTAAATGAACAGTCTAAGGTCACATTCAGCTAATTAGTTGTAGATCAAGACAAGAATCAAGATCTCCTAATTTCTAAGACAGGCACCACTCTCTTTCAGAACTAAATCTCACAAGGAGGGAAAACAATGTATGGACAAATGTCTGTAATTCTGATGGTTTTGTGATAAAATATTTTTTAAACTTTCAAAATACTTTGAAAAAGTCTTTCCCCATATTTTATGTCCATTTATTAAATGTTAAATCTTACTTTAAAGAACATTACTACTATAAACTCTAAAATAAATAGCCTAATTAGACCTCCCCAATGATCAGCATTCATGGATTTTAAACTCAGAAAGATTTTAAAGTAAATTGTGACCTCAGTCTTCTACCATTATATTTTAAGAAGGAAAAACTTTGACTTACCATTATTAACATTCTCTGTTATCTGACAAGTACTAATTAGCTAGTGTAGTTCTATTCTGTTTTAATGAATACCTATTTAAAATATATTTCAACTGCAGAAACACCTTTCATATGTCAGTTAGGTAAAATACGACTATCTCATATATTGTACATGTTTTGTAGATGCACTGCACGTTTTTCTAATTCATTGTATTATAACCCTTTTATTTTGTTTCCAAATAATAATTTAATATAAGAACCTTAAAGGAAAAAGATAAAAATGTATTTAAAATATAAACAGATCCCTAATATTCAATACCATGTTTTTATTTTTAAAACCCTTCTTCTCTAAAGATATGCTGTAAAATAAAGCAATTTACAAAACATAAGTACTGTCATTTGATGAAAAATGTGCATATATAAGCTTAT